CGTTGGGATCATCAACAGGGACTTATTCAGGCCCATCTTCTTGAGGAGCCGGTTCCAAAAGAAGACTGAGACTGGTATTGCTCACTGAGAGTACCTGCTTGATCAGCTTCACCTGCTGATGAAGAATCGTGCCACTGCCGTGCTCGTAAACCTCCGAAGATGAAGCATCTGCTCCGCGGGTGGTCTGCAACAGAATCAGTCCTGCAGGCTGCAGGCTGCCGCGATCCACCTCGAATACCTCTGAGCACAGCCGAGCGATTTCCCAATGCTGGACCAGCCAGGAGCCCGGCCCCCACGGGCAGCGTCTGAAAAGCTGAGCTGTCCAACCTGGCTGAGACAGCAGCTACTCTGAGGACGAATACTCGCCAGCAAGGCGCCAGCGAACAGCATGTCAGTAGCAACTTCGCAATAAAATGAACCCATCTCTTGGCCCGCGCGCGGTCACAGGAGGAGTCGGACAAATTATCCTGAATGAACTCGGCAGTGCCATCTGAGTAGACGGCCTCTGTCATCCGCTTGTTGGCCGAGCCATCTGCAGAAGGTGCGCCGACGGCGCCGGCGCCGGTAGAAAGCCCGTCGCGGGGCTCGCGATGCACTCGCGCATGTGCCCTGCGACCGCTGAAGATATCTTCTGTCCGCGAAATCCATCGGATGTCGATGTCCTCCACGATCTTCTCGGAAGCGTCCCCGTCCATGATCTAATCGTGCATGTCGCGTTCTGCTGCGCTCGTTGCCAGGTGTCTGAGTCCTCGATGCGTTTCTGGTTCGCCTGGCTCGTGAGTCTCCACGCGCTACTCGCAGCGCTGGCAGTCCATCTCGTAGACCTCCTTGAAGGCGTAGCCCGCGCGCGTGGCATGGCACGCCCGTGCCGATGAAGCCTTCGACAGGAGGCCTCGCCCAGCGCATCTGGCAATCGTCGCGCGTCCACCAGAAGGCCCTGGTGTTGCCCTGGTGGCGCATGGACTTCTCGGGGCGCGTGCAGATGGCCTGCTGTCTTCATGGTGCCCATGCCGTCTGGCCCCAGCCTCTTGCACACCGCGAGCCACTCCCCGCTGGAGACCTTCATGGCTCGAGAGAGAGAGGTCACCGGTCGCGGGTCTGAGGCGTGGATGGCGCAGCCTCGTTGTCCAGACTCTTGGCGTCCCGAGCAAGTTCTCGTAGGTAGTCGCGCCGATGCGCGCCTCCGCGCGGCGCTCCATGGCCGCGCGGTCCAGGATTGCGAGGCGCTTCAGGCACAGTTGGTGCCAATTTCACGCCCGCTTCTCTGGGGTCATCAGAGACTGGCTGGACCTGCTGGTGCTCGGATGTTCTGGCCGCGGCCCCTTCTTGGCGAGGGTGCGCCCCGCGCGTTTCAACGTCGCGCGAGATGTCAATAGAGGAGGGGGGAATGGCTGATAAAGGCTCGCTTGGGCCGAGGGTGCCTGCGGATTCACCTTGAACGCGGCATCCCCAGGCTGGGCGACCTGGAACTGCCCCTGGGTCTTCGTAGAGACCGTTCTGATGATCTTCTCTGCCAACCACCATCGGGGAAATCCAAAATATGGATCGCAATGCGTCTGCCTGCCCCTACCTCTTACACCCTCGATTGACTGCCGTCGAGTGCCTTCAAAGTCACGCGGCCAGCTGGCAAGTCAAGAACCCTGCCATGCCGCCTGAGAATCTCCACTGGAAGCGGCAAGGACACACCGCAGGCCAGATGCACGGCGAGGGCGCCGCAATTCTTTGCCACGGCGACCAACAGGGTCCAGCTGGAGAGAAGCTTGGTACATCCTCCAACGCCCATGGCGTCAATTTCAAGAATCGGCATCTGTGCTGCCTTCACTTCACAAATAGCTCCCAAATATCCCACCATTTTCTCAAACTGATCTCCGCCGCTGACTCCGCGCTGAGCCCTGGCAACTACCAAACCGAAGCCCATCTGGAGTCCGATGAAAGTCTGTTCATCAGGTCTCGGCAGTAGCAGAGATAGTGAGGCACAAGAGCTAACTCCAAATTGGGTCGCATGACCTCGTTGACAAGCGTCGCGCAGAGCGTCATCCGCTTCGAGAGGGACAGCCTGGAAACCATGGAAGCCTGCTCGCCGTTTGCACCCTTGCTCGTCGGGCTCGTTCGCGCAGCCCCGAGCCCAATGCCCCATCTTTCAGTCGAGCATGTCCAGTCCGTTACCCCCCGACGTTCCCTCGCGGGAGCATCTGGACTTGCCTCCCGGCAGAGACTGTTCCAAGGAGCCTCGTCGGGGCTTCCGCTTGTGCAATTATTGCCGTGCCTGGCTGTAGTTGACGTAGATGGCGACAGCCCCGTCTTCGTCCAAGATCATATCCTCGGGCATGTCTCCAACAACGAAGAGTACCTCTGCATCGCCCATGTACCTGGGGGCCGAATTCACGACGTCGCCCCGCTCGTAGGACTCGGGCAGGGTGAACAAAGACTGTCGCATGAGAACACAATGGACGTCATCACGGTCACCTGCTCATCAGATCCGTCTTCATCTCCTCGGTGCCGGACGAAATGCGAAGCGAAACTCATGGATGCGATGGCCGCCTTTGACCGAGGGCAGTGGTCGCTCGAGCTTCCGGAGGTTCTCGCGCGCCATGTCAAAGGCATATGACCCCTCAGCCCTCAGTCCGGGCTCAACCGTATCCCGAGCGGCCTCCATGAGATATGACTCCTTGAGACGCACGCATCCAATTTAACTCCTCTGGCAAGGCCGCGTGCTTCTCGAGTTCTCGGAAGGACACTCGCTTGCCACCGGTATGATTGACAGGGGACTTGTCTCGCTTACGCTTGGTGTCGTCTGAACAGAAACTTTTCAACAGCTTCTGGCATCCTGCGGTCTCGGTATTCGGCGGAAGCCTTCTTCATGCGTTTGACCGCAACCTGCCCGCTGTCCTCCGAGGACCACTGATATCAGGTGAATTCGTTGATGCTAATATTCGGGTCGTCTCTGGCGTAACGGTGGATGAGGCGTCCATGTTGTCGTTTCGAAATGCTGGTAGTCGTCGGCCACATCTGCACGCATGTAAGGGTCTAAAGACGACCGGGAACTTGTCCATCTTAGGTGGGAGGTCGGTTGCTCGGTATCTTTGGGGCCTCCGATTGCCCGACAAATTGCCCCCTCTGACGATCTGAAGATCCGGCTGTGGCGCGCCCCCAATAAGTCAGAGTGAAAGGCGCAGCCTGTCCCCGCAAGCAGAGGCGCGTTCAACCGAGCTGGCGCAGCCGGCGAACTGCGGCCCGGGGCGCTCCAACTCAATGAGAATGCGCATCGGGCTGCGCTTCCGTCCTGGGCCGCGGGAACCTGCGGGCGCGATCTGCATCTGACCGGCCCACTTTGCCATCGCCGCCCCAGGGGGCGCCCCCCGCCCCCCGTCCAAGAATTTCTGCCCTGGTTGCGCCCGGGGGTCATCTGGAAATAATTCGAGAGGCCGAGCGCCGGCCGGGCGGCCCACGGCGGCGCGCGGCGCAAGAGGGGGGGAGCGGGAGGAACGGGAAAAGAATTTAGAATATGTCACCCGAGAGTCGGGCGGCAGGGGAGTCAGCCTGACTCCCCTCGCGGATCGGGCCCGCGCGCTCCGCTGCCGCTGCGGAACGCGCGGGGGTAGCTGAATGGGGCGCAGAGAGACGCGAAATGCAAGTAGGGGGGCCCGTGATATAAGACAGCACGTTCTCTTTCCTTACACGGGCCAGGGAGCGCCCGTCGCCTGCGCGCCGGATGACTCATGGGCACAGGGGAGGCGCGACGGAGGCGGAGGAGGAGGAGGAGGAGAAGGAGAGGCTGACATACGGACAACCACGTGCGATCTGCGTGGTCCAATCTACGCGGCGCAGTCTACGTTGCGCAAGTCTACGCGGGGCAATCTACTCGGAGGCAGCCTATGTGGTTCAATTCTCCCTGCCGGAGTTGAGGTCGCCAACTCCACCGCTCGAGCAATCGCCCCGCGGCGGCACTTGCACCGACTGGTAAGAGCTGGCCGGGGCGTCGCATCGCCCGCGCTGGCGCGCGCAGGCTCGCGCGCAATGCGGCAGGCAAGTCTGCCCTGACCGACGCGGCCGCGGTGGCGCCGACCGCTGGGAAATCCTCAGCGCGCTTCGCAGGGCGCGCTGACGCGCGGGCACATCAGCGCGAGTCGGCGACTCGGGCGGGCGAGGTGCGACGGTGACGTGGGCGACGGCAGACGCGCCGTTGCTAGTCCTGCCGCGGGCAGCGCCGATGGCGACGACGACGGCGAGGCCGACGACGGCGCCGACGCCCATCGCGCCGACGGCGATGGCGGCGCCCGGGTGTCGGCGATGAAAGTTCGGGGCGGATATAAGCGCGCGCGGCCGAGGCGGGCGAGCAGCGCGTGCGGCAGCACTTGCTAGGGATCGTGCCCCCTGAGCATTGGGCGCCCGAGTTATCCGGGATTACTCGGGCCCGGGGTAACTCGGGTTTGGATTCCCGAAAAAGGAACCCGAGTTAGCCCTGACACGAATTACCCCTGATGATTTGGGGCTCTGGACGCCCGAATTATCCGGGGTAACTCGGGCCCGGGGCAACTCGGGTTCGGATCTCCGAAAAACGAGCCCGAGTTAGCCCTGACCCGAGCTACCTCTGATGATTCGGGGCTCTGATAGCACGCGTGCGAGGGCATTCGAGCGATCGCGGCGCGCGCGCGAGACGCCCGCTTCGTCGAAGTTCATGAACATAAAAACCTATGGCTCGGTCTAGACGCGCAAGATCGCGCGCGCGGCGGCCGCTGAGAGTTCCCCGCGCGCGAAGTCGTTGAGGACTGTCGCACGCGTCTGCGCGCCTTTGCCCACGGGTCGCCGGCGCCCGCCGCGGTCGGCCGCGCCTTCCCACTCGGGGGCCCGCTTCGTGCAAATGCGAACTCATCGCGCAGGTTTGCGCGGATTGCGTCTCCAGCGGCCGCCGTGGCATTGCTTCGGGCAGAAAGAGCTCCTCGGTGCACTGGCCCTATGGCGCGCGCGCGAGATCGTTCCAGGAAGGTGCCACATCACACGTAGATGCACGGCGTCGCGGCGCAATTCCCCAAGAGGATCGCGGTCGGAGAGCCGACGGCGACGTCGGGGCCGCAATCGCCGCGGGCGGCGCCCAGGCGGCCGAGCTTCCTTGAGCGCCCTGGGCGCAGCGTGGCGCTGCAGACCAGAAACTGGCGGCCGGCGCCCGTCGCGGCGCCGCGGCATCTGCGCGCGCGCCGCCCCCCATCTGCAGCGCCGGTCACCTGGGTGTCGCCCCTGCCAGGGCCGCCCGTTAAATGGCCATGCGGCCTGGCGCGCGCTCGACGATGGCGTCGGCGTCTTATAACCTCCAGCAGCTGGTCGCGCACCTGCTGAGCCCTCGGCGCCGTGCAATTGAGCGGCTGGAGAAACGGCGGGGCCTCGCGCGGCGGCGAGCGCACCGTCGATGCGCCTCGGCGTGAATATTGACGCCCATGACTTTTAACCCTTGCTGCAGTCGGCGTCCGCCTTCCAAGCTCTCGCGCCATTGCGCCAGATGGCCCGGCCAGTTGGCCACTTGGTCCGTTCGTGTCCCAATGCGTTCGGCCCTGAAGTTGGTCGCGCCAGGCGGGGCCCCCGCGACGACGCTGCGAGCCAAGCCTCGGAGGTCTCGCTGGAGAGCGGCCGCTTGCCGGGGAGGCGTCGGGCCCCCAGCGTGGACGTCGAGGGGCGCGAGCGCCCCTCGGATCTACGCGCGGCATGGTGCATTCCCAGCAGGGCCCCACCATAGGCTTCTCGTCTGGCCCCCAGCCCCGCCCCCTCGCCACGCGGCCGATGGCGGCGCCGATGGGGGGTCGGCCGCGAGCCCGCGGGCGGCGAGACCCAAGTCGTAGAGGCGGAAGGAGAAGACGTCAGATGCGGCAGCTGTGGCGGAGGACCCAGTCGCGCGTCCGCGAGCGGCTGGAATATGAAAGAACTTCGCAAGTCGGCGCCCCTTGATCTCGGAAGCGCGGTAATCGATCGCATTCCCGCAATCGTGCGTCTCAGACGGTGGCGTCGTCGCGGCGGTTGCAGAAATCGCGGTGGATGTCCGAGCCGTCGACCAGCCGTCGAAGTTTCTCGCGCGATTGGAAGCCTCGAAGATGTAGAAGTAGAGCTCGGCCTGGCAAAAGCCGCGGAATGGGGGGGACCGTTGGCGACGCTGTCGAATGTCCTCGCGAGCGTAGAACCCGGGCTGTCGGCGGAGGCGCGATGGTTGCGTAGTGGCTGGTGCCGATTTGGCGGACGTCGAGGAAGGAGTCCGCCGTGCTCTTGCGTTATTCGAGGCATCCCCCGCCGCGTTGGCGGATGTTGTTGGCGCGGGCGAAGGTGAAAGTCATCGCGCCGAGGGCGGAGGTGAACAGTGCTGCCGCGAGCGCGACAACTCCGCTGCCCAATTTGAACGGCAGTGGCCACTGCATGGTGCAATGATTATACGAGGCCAAGGCGACAATGGCGGCAGCCTGCTCACGCGTCGTGGTGGTAGCCTGTCATTTAGGGCCACAGGGGCACCCGGCCGCGCGCGGGCCCTCATGCATTTGCGACCAGGTTGGAGGGCCTGATCAGCTTGAAGCCGCCCGCGCCCAAGAACTCCACCTGGACTCGACGAAGTCGCGACAGCCCGCCGTTCCATTGACAGACTCCGTGGATACGCTGTGCGGTCGTACCAAATCTCTCACGACGAACCTGTCGCCCTTGTTCTTCTGTGCCCTTTTCGGGCCGTGGGGGAGCTGCGAAACGAGGCCGGGTTCACCCATGTCGCTCCTGGAATCCAGAGGCGCCCATGTCCGGAGCTTGGCAGCCAGCGCCTGGATCGTCGCCTCCGGGTCGTCGCGCACTTTGACCGTTTCAGCACTCGCGAGAAAAGTGCATTTCTCCACCAGGAGACGCTGGCGAGGGAACAGTTCGGTGAGGTCCCCCTTTAGCTGTTCGGGCGGCATCGCCAAAGAGTGGATGGCCAACTCCATGAAGTTAGAGCGCATGTCCTCCATCTTGGGAGGCAGGCGCAGGTGGAGCGACGCCTCCACCCTGGGCGGCCGACGCCGCAGTTTTGTCTTCGACGGCAGCCTGCAAGGTAGAATCGGAGAAGTTCGGGATAGCCACCACACGAAGCTGTTCCAACTCCTGGAGCAATGAAGCAATAGTGCAGTTCGGAGCGTCAATGAATTCTTGCAATGGGCCTCACACGCAACATGAGTGTCCACAGCGCTCCGACTTGTAGCGAGGTGCCACAATCTTTCCACGATCAATTATTCCAGCAATGCAATACCAAAACGAATGTTTGCCATCAGCGCTGCGAGCATCCTGGAGCACGAATTCAGCGACCAGGAGGTTCAATTTTGACTCAAGTGGTGGAAAACCCTGCTGACGAGATAGGGCGTCGAAAATGCTACTGATGCGAGGTCCCGTGCACACAGGAGAAACTTCGACCACCGTAGACATACCATGTCCAACTTTGTGCTTCCTGTGGCGCCAGCAGAACGACGGAAAGAAACAGCACCATTGAGCACGTTTCGCAGCCGAGCTTACCTTCACAGCCAGACGAAAGATGAGAGCAGGAATCAGACCACGAAGAAACAACATCGCAACACATGTTGAATTACCTTTCCGTCCAGCAATCGCGACCGCACACGAGTGAACCGTAAGTTGCACTCCGATCGGTCCAAGAAGGCATATAGTCGAAGAGAATACAGCAGCAAAACAGAGGCAGAAAGATAGCACCACATCAGCAGCCCATATACAGCATCGCGGGGACACGAGGAGGACCATGCCGAGCAAAGTGAAGCGAGTTGCGCAGCGACATCATGGCAAGCCTGGCTTGAGCCAGCATGGCTGTGGATAGATTTGTGTGTATATCTAAACATATAAGAAAGCCACCTGCCAGACCTCCGACGTCGTGCTTTATTCTCTTGCACAGCTGTGCTCTAGAGCTCGGACATCTTTATTTTCGTGTCGTTCGTCGTTCGTGTCGTTCGTCCCCCTGGCCCTGGTCGTCCCCTGGCCCTGGCCCTCACCCCCCTCTGCCCCCCGTCCAGGCATCCCAGGGCAGTCCGTCCAGGCTTCCCAGGGCAGCCCCCCTGGGCCACGGAACCCTTTATTTTCGTGTCGTTCGTCGTTCGTGTCGTTCGTCCCCCTGGCCCTGGTCGTCCCCCTGGCCCTGGCCCTCACCCCCCCCTGCCCCCGTCCAGGCATCCCAGGGCAGCCCGTCCAGGCTTCCCAGGGCAGCCCCCCTGGGCCACGGAACCCTTTATTTTCGTGTCGTTCGTCGTTCGTGTCGTTCGTCCCCCTGGCCCTGGTCGCCCCCCTGGCCCTGGCCCTCACCCCCCTCTGCCCCTCGTCCAGCCTTCCCAAGGCAGTCCGTCCAGGCTCCCCAGGGCAGCCCCCCTGGGGGCCTCGGAACCCTTTATTTTCGTGTCGTTCGTCGTTCGTGTCGTTCGTCCCCCTGGCCCTGGTCGTCCCCCTGGCCCTGGCCCTCACCCCCCTCTGCCCCTCGTCCAGCCTTCCCAGGGCAGTCCGTCCAGGCTCCCCAGGGCAGCCCCCCTGGGCCTCGGACACCTTTATTTTCGTGTCGTGTCGTGTCGTTCGTCCCCCTGCCCCCCCCTCCCTGCCCCCCCCCGTCCAGGCTCCCCAGGGCAGCCCCTGGGCCTCGGACACCTTTATTTTCGTGTCGTGTCGTGTCGTTCGTCCCCCTCCCCCCCCCCGCCCAGGCTTCCCAGGGCAGCCCCCCTAAGCCTCGGACACCTTTGTGCAAGAGCCAGGGCACGCGTGCCACTTGTTTTCGCACCATCCTGGCCCCTCGGGATCCCTCGAATGCCCCCCCGGGCGGGCATTGAACTCCCGATCAATCTCTGATGGCACCGAGGCCCGAGATGGGCCTCCGGACGCCCGAACCAGAAGAAGGAACGGGCTGCTGAGCATCAACTTCCGAGGGTCTGCGCGGATTTCCTGGGTCGACGGTGAACCCCCTTCGCACTGGCGCGCGGAGCGCGCCAGTGGCGCGCCGCCAGGGGGCCTGGCGCCGGTCCAAGACATCCGCGCGGACCCTCGGAAGTTTTTGTCTATGCGAACTCATAGCACTTTCGAGGCTCCTGGGCTCGACGAGAAGCAACTACGCCAAAGGGGTCCAACTACAACAACTACGAGACGGTCGGGCATGTCCCCATACAGGCGGGTTTTGAATGAAAAATGAGAGATAGTCAACAAATCCTCAAAACATATTCCAAAATAGTCAAACATCGTCCCCAGACTATTTTTTGAGCCCTGGGAGTGCGCCTGCCAAGGCCCAACCTCCCCTGAGTCGGGCCCAGCCTCGCGAGGAGATCGGGTCGGGCCAGGACACGGATCGTGCCGCGCCAGGATCAGGTCGGCCACTGATCTGTCCTCCGTTTCTGGCCGCTCGTTCCTCCATCGAATCTGGGCAGGACTACCTGTTTCTACCAATCAACCTCCCAGGAGTTGCATCCTAGGCATCGGTGATGCAATGATGGGCGCGCGTCATGGGCGCCGCCGCCGCCGACGCCGACGCCGCCGTCGTCGAGATTGATCTAGGTTCGAGGATCGAGGGTCGAAGCGGATCCGCCTCGACCATCGATCAAGGTTCGAGGGGCGAGGACAAAAAGACCGAACTCGCTTCGTCGTCGTCGTCGATCGAGACTCGATGACCGAAGCTCGCCCCTCTCCCACGCGAGCTTTTTTCGCCGCGCGCCCAGCGCCGGGTTACCGCTAGCACGGTTCCCGGGCGGGCCGCCCATCCCGCCGGGGGGGGCCGAGCCGCTAGGGACACATTCGGGCTCCGCGCGAGCATCCTTCGTGACCCAACGCTTTCGCCGCCGCAGCTGCGGGCAAAGAGTCGAAAGGTCCTGCAAACCTCGGAGACCTCAACGCGACCCCGAGATGCCTAGGCCGGACCCCAAGGATCCAGAGCCTCCAACAAAGCCACGCTGAATAACGACGGGTACTTTGCCGCGGATTGTTCACGAGGCCGCGTTTGGGCCATGTGGCCACCAAACACTGGCCCGCGGCGGCAAGACAAAAGGGCGGGAGCTCTGGCGGCCAGGCCGTGAAGCAGTTGTGACGTCGGATGGCTGGAGCCGCCCAGGGGCACAGAGGCTCCATGACATCCGAAGTGAGCGATTATCCTCCAATCTGGACGCCTGTTCTCCAATTGGCAGATTGGAGGTTTGGGCCTGGACAAGAATAAAGCATCGACTGTCCACCAACACCCGTCTTGGCTGGGTCCATGGAGACTGCAGTGATCCCGGCCATGTTGCTGAGGAGCCGTCCACAGGGGCTCAAGCCTGGGTGATGTGCCCAACACTGCGAAGGAGCGCTCCACAGCGGCCGTGAAACTAGCGTGGCAAAGAGACCAATCCTACCCGGCTGCCTGCCGCGCAAGGCGTGGCCCTCTCCTCATACCCTACGCGCCGCCAGCTGGATAGAATTCGGGTCCCTGTGGGGAACGATCCGCGTGAAGGGTTTGCCGAAATGGACGGGGGGGACGCCATGCGAACGCAGACGCTGGGGTATGGCCGTGGGTGCAGCTCCCTACGGGGAACGATCCGAGCGAGGGGTGTGCCGAAGAGGGCGCGTGGAAGTCAAGCGAACGCACCCATCTGGGGCTGTGAGTGGAGCTCCCTGCACGCAGGGGGCACGAAGCGCGCGAGGAGTGCGCCGAGACCGATGCGGGGGAGGGCTGGGGAAACTAAACAGCGTCGCGACAAAACCACGGCCAGAGCACTTAGCTCCATCCTTGCGCGGCGTTTGCTCAAGCCTGGTTGGCCCGCTAGGATCCCAGTTCGGGGGACAGCAGTCGGGGCAGAATCGTCCACTGCTACCCATCGGGTGGAAGGAGTGGGTAGACGCATGAAGTAGGAAGCTGCTGAAAGTATACCTGCACGACAGAGGAATGGAACACCCCTCCACGGTCGAAGCAGCAAGGCGCCTAGAGTGGGTCAGAATCTAAGAATCCAAGAACACCTACTTTCAAGGACCCACGGAAAGAAAACGACCAGAAAACATCCTGGCCCAAAGTGCCCGCCCCAACTGCTCGCGCCGTGTCGGAGCCCCTGGGGCCACCTGGAAATCGTGCAGCATAATCAGGGAACCACCTGGACCTCGCTTGGAACAAATGGGGACCCCTTGGGTCCAAATCCGAGTCGCTTGGCGCGTCCGAAATGGGCACGGAACAATAAGCACAATGCCAACAACGGCCGCCGTTGGGCATGCGTCTCTTTGGTTTTAAACGGAAAACGTCCGCAGCGAAGCCGACAGCAATTCCAATTCCAAGTGGACAATACCTGCTGTCGGTCTTCGTCCCCGTTCTTTCAGTACCCATTTCGATGGTACCGAGTCGCGTTTCTTTCGCAACGTCGGAGTCCGAGGTGTCCCAGCTCAGCCGCCCCCGGCGCCTCGCGGGGGCTGCTGTCGCGCCCGCGGAGAGACTGTTATGCTGTCGTGCGCCAGCAGCGCCGGCGGTAACGCCGAGACACCAGGCGCACAGGAGAGAGAAGGGAGGAGGAGGAGTAGGGGAAGCGAGGAAGAGGAGGAGGAGGAAAGGAGGAGGAGGAGGAGGAAAGGAGGAGGAGGAGGAGGTGCGAGGCGGAGGTAGGACGGAGGAGAAGGGGTGGCGGACGGAGGATACGGTCGAATGGGCAAAGGTGGTAGGCGGGGCTTGGCAACTGGGGAAAAGGCTGCAGGAGGGGCCACGAGAGGAGGGTTGAGGAACGAGGTATAAGGAAAGATGTGAGGAGAGGAGGAGGAGGAGGAGGAGGAGGAGGAGGAGGAGGAGGAGGAGGAGGAGGAGGAGGAGGAGGACGAGGAGGAGCAGTAGGTGGAGGACGACGACGAGGCAGCCAAGGGGGAGGAGGAGGAGGAGGAGGAGGAGGAGGAGGAGGAGGAGGAGGAGGACGACGAGGAGGAGCAGTAGGTGGAGGACGACGACGAGGCAGCCAAGGGGGAGGGAGGAGGAGGAGGAGGAGGAGGAGGAGGAGGAGGAGGAGGAGGCGGAAGAACAGGAGGAACAGAAGGAGGAGGAGGAGGAGGAGGAGGAGGAGGAGGAGGAGGGAAGGAGGAAGAGGGGGGAGGCAGGGAGGAGGAGGCTGGGGAAGGGAGCACGAGGAGGCTCGAGGAGAGGGGGGAGGGCAGGGGATATAGAGGGGCTGCTCCGCCAGAGCTTACGCCGCCCCATCCTCACTTCCCGCCCGCTTGTAGCTTCTCCTCACTCCTCCTCCTCCTCATCACTCACCACCATCACCAACATCATCATCACGACCAACAGCATCAACAACATCACCATCACCATCATCAGCATCATCATCACCATCAGCAAACTCAACATCGCCATCATCAGCATCATCATCATCAGCATCATCATCATCATCATCATCAGCATCATCACCACCATCATCATCATCATCAGCATCACCATCGTCATCATCATCAGCATCATACTCAGCATCATCATCGTCACCGCCACCATCGTCGACGTCGTCATCAACAGCAGCATACTCAGCATCAACATCATCATCAGCATCATCAGCAGCATCGTCATCGTCATCATCATCATCATCATCAGCATCATCAGCATCGTTATCGTCATCGTCATCGTCACCACCACCACAACAATCAACATCATCGCAAGCATCGTCATCATCCTCATCTTCATCCTCATCTTCATCCCCAGCCCCATCCTCAGCCTCATCATCACCATCACCAGCACCATCACCATCACCATCTCCGCCACCACCATCATGACTCCTCCAAGCTCCTCCACCGCCTGATCCTCCTCGGGCGGGGAGTGTCGCCTGAGACTTCCTCACGATGTATGATCCTAGAGCTTTTCCATTTGCAGCAAGTGCATGGATGGAGGAGGCGGGTTTGAAAATATAATTCTCGCCTCGGCGCCGTGCAGGTTCGCTTTACATGTTTGCAGACAGTCTCACTGGTGGAGGGATGTGGCTCTCGTTTTAGCGCCGCGCCCACTTATCTGAAAGTTCGTAACAGCTTCACGGATTGAGGGGGGGGGTCATAATGTGGCTCGCGCCTTGGCACTGCGCATATTCGCGCTGAAAGATTGCAACAGTCTCACTGGGGGGGGGGGAAGAAATGAGGTGCTCTCGCCGTAGCGTTGCGCACATTCGTCTAAGGTTTGCAAACAACCTCATGGATAGAGGATGGCTCCTTCTCAACATGTAGATCCCGCGCTAGCGCCGCGCACATTCGTTTTAAAAGTTTGCAGTGGAGGGCGGTCCCTTGTTAAAAATGCGGCTCTCGAATTAGCGCCACGTGCACTCGTCTTGAACATTTACCACAATTTCACGGATGGCGAGGGGGCGTCCTCGAAACACGATTCCTGCCTTATCGACACGAACACTAGTCTTCAAACATTGCAGCATTTTGATGGATGGAAAAGGGTGGTTTTCAAGATAAGGCTCTTAGTACCGAGCACTTTCGTTTCAAAAGTCAGACTGGGTTGCCAGATGGAGGGCGGTTCGTTCCTTTTCAAAGTGGAGCACTCGTCCTAGCGCCGCGAACACTCGTCTCAAAAGGTTGTCACAACTTTGAGGATTGAGCACTGATCGATTTCAAAATCGGGTTCTCGCCTCAGCGCTACGCGCACGCGTTCCGTCACGCACCGCTTGGAAGGATTGAGGACTACTCTTTTCGAGCTTGACTTCTCGCCTGAGACGTCGCTAAGAATAAGGACCGAGCACCTCAACGCAAGTATCGCTGCAAGGATCCACGGCGGCTCTTTTGTTCTCGACGGAACTATCGCTTGAGAATTCCTCGAAGTTGATGAGCACGGGTACAAACCTATGCAACAGTTTCACGAATGGAAGGGCGATCCTCCGCCGACAGATGACCTCCCTGGACACCTCGTTGAGCAGTATGATCATCGTCTTTCGCGTTTCTGGTTACGCGCCAGTGATATGCAAGGCAATTATTTCACAAAGCGGGGCCCTCGCCAAAACTGCATACCCGACTGCGCTGGTCTTTCAAGGAGGGCGTTTCTCTTAGTGAAAAGGAAGACTTGCAGGGTCAGATGAGGGAGTGGGCTTGGGACGGGAGGGTGTGTTGCCGCATCGGTAATGTATATTTCAGGTACCCCAGTTCTCGTCCACGTCACGCCTCTATATCCCTCGCCATCGCCCAGCGCCCTCCTGCTCCTCGCCCTCGCCATCGCCCAACGCTCCTCCCCTCCTCCCCTGCCTTCTCGCCGGGCCTCCCCCCCCACCTCCGTCGTCGCGCCTCTCCTCGCTCCTCCCCAACCGCCGCTGCGGCTGAGCTTTTCGGAAGAGGGAGGGGGGTCGTCAAGGGCTTAACAACTACGGGTGGCCCGAGATTTTCCTGGAGAACCCTGGAGGGACCTCGAATACATAGAGCTACCCGAATCTATTTGGATTTGCACACATTTACTCTGACTTACCACGATGTATCCGGCTTGTTCCCTGCAAGTCGATTGGCGAAACGACGTCACGCCCTTAGAGAGGGGGGCCTGGGCCCTCACAGTTTACATGGCCCCCTGCCAGGGAGCAAAACGGACCGCCGGTCAGGGAACAGAAACGCACACCTCCTCGGCGCCCCCCCCCCCGCCCAATTCCAGGGCCCGCCTTTCCTCCCTGTGCAGGTGGGGAACCTCGGCAGGAGGATGCCAATCGTATGCCTGCCTCGATTTCGGCCAGGCCCATCCCAGGCCCAAGATCGGCGTGCACGCCTTGTGGGCTTCGCCACGTGGCACAGGTCTCCGGTCCTGGACCCATGATTGGCCTGGACGGGGTCGGCGTAGGCGCAGCACAGCAGGCGTCCACAGACTCGGGTTTCCCGCCCCCCTGCTTGCCACAGGACCCCCCCTCCACTTCTTCCAATGCAGCCCGGCAACCTCACAAGCCTCGAGGATAGGAGAAGGAGTACGGAAAGGAGGAAGAAGAGGACAAGGAAGGAAGAGGCGGAGGAGGAGGAGGAGGAGGTGGAGCAAGGACGGGACGAAAAGAGAAGGAGGGGGATGTGAAAGAGAAGGGAGGACGAGGAGGAGGAGGACGAACGGGAGGAGGAGGAGGAGGGGGAGGAGGAGGAGGAGGAGAGGGAGAGGGGGGGAGGAGGAGGGGGAGGAGAGGAGGAGGAGGAGGAGGAGGGAGGAGGAGGAGGAGGAGGAGGAGGGGGAGGAGGAGGAGGAGGTGGAGAGGGAGGAGGAGGAGGTGGAGGAGGAATAGGAGGAGGCGGAGGAGGAGGGGGAGGAGGAGGGAGGATGGGGGGGATAAGAAGGGATAGTGAGTGAGGATGAAAGAGGAGGAGGAGGAGGAGGAGGAGGAGGAGGAGGAGGAGGAGGAGGAGGAAAAGAAGGAGGAGGAGGAGGTTGGATGCATGCATGGGTGATGAGGAGAGATAGAAGAATGGAGGATCAGTTCCGACACCTACCAGGGCCAACATCCAACTTCAGGAAAGAGAGCGACCCGGGACCGACCTATCGGCCGCGAAGTTCAGGCTCTTGGCCTGCCTACTGTTCACGGAGTCTTTATACTTTATACCCCTAACATCACTACCGTTTGCAATTCAATCGTTGGGCCGCTGCGCCCGCCACCGAACTACCGAAACCACTGTTGCGAAATGCTCGGACGGCTTGCGGCTCGATCCGAACGCGTTTGGGGGGTGCTGGGATATCAGAGGGAGGGGATACGCTGGCCTGACGGGCGGCGGTAGCAGCACGGTCATGTCCGGAACAAAACGCACACAGGACTGACGAGGTTCTGCACCCCGAACCCTTCGCTGGCGATCGGGATCGTGTCGAGGGCCAGCCACCACCGCAGGTAGCTCTCCCCGAGGTCGCCAACCTCGGAACTCTCGAGTCTCGGGCCAGAGGTCGCCGCCATACAAGACGGAGGGGGAATGGGGGCTCGCGCATACTGCTCACCACCGACATACTCTGACCATCCAACTAATTCTCACGAGTACACAATCTCTGCACCCACACGCCAGACGACGTCGCCGAGCTCCGAACGTCAGGCACCACATCGCCGCCCACACTCACTCATCCATCGCACCCTCCTCTAGGAACGTCTGCCACATTCTCTCTCGGTGGCCCATCGGGGCCGCGCCGGTCTCCCCCGCGAGCCTAAGCTGCATCAAGCAGTCTACGAGCATACCAAGAGACCTTGTCTGCGCCATAAAGATCTTGCAGCCCCCCTCCTTGCACGCAGCCTTTACCGTCGCGCGCGGGTAGAGCTGTCCGGTCTCCGCGATCGACTTGGCAATCAAATCGTTCTTCCACGCCGTCAGCTTCTGCGCGTTGGCGCGTTCGACCGCCGCGCCCATGAACGCCGCCCCCTCGACCCAGCCCACCAGCGCCGCCGCGCTGATGGAGCCGAACTTGCCCACGCCCTCGCGCTTGCCGCGGCTGCGCATGTCCGGCGCCGCTCCGACCCAGCCCGGAACCCTCGCGCGGGCCGACGCGACTGGAGCTGCCAACTCTGGACCGATCAGCTCGACCATGGCGATCGGCTCCAGCTGCCGAGTGCGCAGCGACAGGTTCATGATCATCTTCGCCATGACAGGTGCGATATTGCGAATGTGTTCTAGCTCGAATATTTCTACAGACTCGATCCCCTCTGGCGACACCGTGCGATAGTTGGTCCTCTGGGCACCTTTCTTCTTGCCTCCTCCTCGTCCTCCGTCTGCGCCTGCAGCCTGTGTCCCCGCGCGCCCCCCCTTGTTTGGAGCGGCGACAGCGGCCGGCGAAGCCGCGGCTGGGGCCGCCGAGGACGCGCCGCGCAAACTCAGGAAGAGGGGGCGGTAGGTGCCGCGCAATGTGCCGCTTCAACTGCTCGAGGTCCGCAAACGGCCCATCACATCCGGGAAATGCCCCAATCTCAGGGTCGATGATAGAAGGGCCATGCATCGAGCTATCTACACATTACCTCCCACACCGATAAGCATTCAAGAGGTGTCTTACCGCTGTGTCACGACATCGAAGCGTACGCAAACAAGCAATGCATTGGTTCGTGACAGTGACTTTGGCAGCAAGCGAAGCAATGCCATGTTGGCCACCTGTGGCCTGGCGCGGGTGCACCAGTAAGGCCCGCCTCACCCCATCCAATCGCACGCAACAGGTATCACCATCAGCTAACTCTTCAGGCGCAGGAACAGAGACCTTGGCCACACTGGCTCGAAGGAGCCACTCAGCACACAACTGATGTATATAATTGTTTTTGTTTGCATGGCCTCGCAACCCGACGCGTTGCCCCTGGGCGCGCACAGAAGATCCCCCTCCATCGCCTCCACCGCCGCCCACCCCCCCCTCCCCTCGGCGACCCCCATGTTGGACGCATCCGAGAAGAACTGCCGGGCCCGCGGGTTGCTGCGAGAGGCCCCGCGCGGGCGCGCCAGGGAGCTAGGAGACCGCGAAAAAATTGGCGGGGCCTCATCTTCGCGGGCGAGCTTGCCAAACGCCGCCGTGAGCTGTTGTTCATGATGTCCTGGCGACCGCGAAACTTTCCGCCGCTCCATCACCCTCCGCGCGCTGGCGGCGCGATCTTCGACTGCCGCCAGATCTGCGACGCACCGCCCTTGTCGACGCATTGCACCATCCTGGCAACTCCACCGAGCAAAGCTTTGAAGCACTTCGAAACGAACAGACTCCAGGCGCGCCCCCTGAAACCTCGAGAGCACCGGGGCCGCGAGCCCAGACAGGGCAGCCCTTTAAGATGTTGCTCCTGAACGCAATCTTCTTCGCCCCCCCCCCCCCCCCCTCCAGGAAGCACATTGGGTCCAGAGACGCCTCGCGTGGGCCCATGCCCCGCGCATCGCCGAACACCTAGCCGAGACCTCAGGGGCCCGCAAACCGCCGGGAGTTAACGAGGTGCCGATGAAGAGGGCCATCACGAGTCCAGGAAGACGCTCAGAATCGTTGGCCTGAAGACATAATTGGTTTATCTGGTCGCCCCTGGGCCCGCGAAATGCGCGGTGGCCTGTTTCTCCCCCTCGCTCTGATAGATCCCGCGTGGTCGCGCGCGTCGGTTGCGGCGCCTGTCGGGGGAACCCATCGCGCGAGCCGCGTCATCACGATCCTTGGCGGTGCGCGCCTCATTCACGTCATCCGCAAACGCGCGAAGCGCGAGGTCGCACATTGCACCCGCGATCGGACTCTTGCCGCGCCGGCCGCCAGCGCGCGCGGCGCGATGGCCCTGGGGCCACGCCTGGATCGGAGGAGCGAGCGCCTCCTGAAACACCGCGGCGACCACGTTGGCATGCCCCACGTAGCCCCCCCCCCCCCCTGTTCTGAAGCGCCATCGCCCCCCCGTCCGCCCAGGCGCTGAAGCGCGCGCCGTTGCCTCTGGCGAAAGATCTCGGCATCGGCCTCGACGTGCATTCTCGCGACAGCTTGATCATGTGAGACGCGTTGGATAGAACCGAGAGTATTGCGCGCGTCATGTTGTCTGTCGCACTCAGCCTCATCCTCTGAGCCCCCCAGGAAGCCGCCGCAGCAGTGCGACGCGCTCCCGCGGAAGACCCCCTCGAAAGATACCCGCTGTCCGAACTCGGAACCAAACGCGGCCTTCGACGGGGCGCCTTGACCCGCATCTTTCCAAACGAACAGAGCCTATAAATCAGGCGCGGCCCCTGTGTTTCAAGCTTGCCGCTTTCTTTAGATAGCTGATGCGCGTAAGATTTGTGACTGCGTGCCACCGGCCCCCCACTTTGCCTAACTTTCGCAAGTGCAGAACGCGCGCAGCCCCCGGACATCTTTCGGGCCCCCCAGGAGGCCCGGCACCAAAGCCAGAGACGCGTTCCCGAACATCAGGCCGCCTAGATAGCAACGAAGCCACTACTTCGATAGGAACTCTCCAAGGAACAGCAGCCCGACGCTTCTGAGCCAGTCTCAACCATTCTGCAATGCGCGGCAGATCCACTGCAGCAAGATCAGCATCAGCAGCGCTGGGTGGCAGCTCGCATTTACCTGCAGACGCCTGCGACAAAAAGAAGCCTTCCTCTACCTGCGTACCCGCCATTCCTCCAGCGCTAGACGACGCGGCCAAGTCCTCCGCCCACTCCCCCATCGACGGCGCGCGCGCCGCGATCGATGCGAACCCACGTCGACGAGGTCTGACACCACCACCGGCCATCTGTCTGCATATCCGCCACTCCTCCAGCGCCCATCCTTTCGCTTGCGCTTCCTCCAGCTCCTCTGCCGGCCGAGCTCCCCGTCGTTCCCGAATCCGACGACGGGGCGCGCGGCGCCGACGTGAAGCGCGAGCTAGATATATCGTAAACTCGATCGCGTCCGTCATCATCTCCCTAGCCCTCCCGCGCGCTTGCAGGACTCGCGCGCTTTCTTGGGCAAGAAACCGATGCGCCTGGGGAGGGGGCCCTCGGGGTCGTCTCGAAGAGTTCCGGGCCCACGGACTGCGCGAGCTGCGCTAACTGCACCCAGGCCTCTTCCATGCCGGCGGCATTCTAAACGAGCCCCCGCGCACGTTCGCCCCCCGAATCGCACGTTCCATTCATCTCCGGAAAACGCCCGCAAAGTGTTCAAATCTCAGAGCCCGCCCCAGACCCGCATAACCCCACCTTCTCCGCGGAACCGCAGGACGACGCGTGGACCGAAGGGGTGCCTCTAGGACGCGCTGCAGCCTCCTGGATGAGCGCATCGCTTGCTTGAGTTGAGCTCCATGACAGATACAAACGAGGACGGCAACATAATGCGATCGCTCCACGATACATGTAGACGCTCTCGCGGGCCGGGCACAGCATAAAGCCACGGCGCACTGCGTCCACATCCGAAGTGCGATGGGCCGCCTGGAGCGAACGCTTTCGCTGCCGACAGATCACGCGCCTCACCAAGTTCTCGAAACAATTGACCTGCGAAGTACTCTTCGCCCGTGCCGCGTGGCCCGACGACGCTCGAATCGACGTCCGCAACGGCGCGCTGGCCCCTGCAGCGCCCGATGCCACCGTTCACGTCCGCAGCCGCAACCGGGACCGTGCGCGAGCGAAGCGAGGCCACAACATGCATGGCGAAACTGCTTGTCTGCTCGATGGCGATGCGCAGTCGAAGTTGCTCTTTGGGATCCTTGCTGCGAGGTGGCAAGTGCAAGCCCACGCGCGTCACGTCTCCGTAGCGCGAGTTGACGCGAATCGCCGCCGCTCGCCCACGGACGTCCCGCGGGGCCGTCCACGGTCTGACTACACCACGCGCCCTCACCGTCTGCTTATATATATAGAGAAACTGACACCACAACTAGACTTGGAACCCTGTGTTTGAACGCGATGGCCACATTGCACTGCTTTGAAACAAGGAATACCTCCAACTACATATGGGCGATCAAAGCTTTTCCGTTGAGTAGCGATCACAATGAGCGCATCAAGTTTCTTGAACTCGAGGTTGATCTCAAGCTCCCTGTCACGATCTGGCACCGAGGAGGGGGTTCAAGCACACGACCCGCAACTTCATACCATTTGGTGTCTTCACCACGTCATACACACAGGGACCCGCGTCCAGAAACCGCACACCTCCAGCACAACAGACGCCCTCCTTCAATCAACGGCAGCACCGAGCGAGAGACGAATAGCATCGCAGTGTACCGTGGAAGGGAGGCAAGTGTGCAGCTGGGGCAGGCTCGGGGCCTACGCCTCGAGGTGGGGGGCGCCTTGCCCCAGCCGAGTGTGGCGCAGCCGCAGAACATGGGCCGCGCGGCTGGAGGCTTGAGGAGGAGGAGGAGGAGGAGGAGGAGGATGAAATCGGAGGAGGCGGCGGATGGAAGGATGACGCGCTCATCGAAACGGTGACTGAACGCAAACTTGAAAGCTAATGCAAATGCATCCATTTGTCCCGGCCGTCCACGGCGAGGAGCAGGAGGAGAGCTTGATGGGGGAGGTGGAGGAAAGAGGACGAGCAGAAGGGAGGATGTGGAACACGAGGGAAGGATGATGGGGGAGGAGGGAGGAGGGGGGAGCACTTGACCCCGAGGTTCTACCCTGGCAAGCTCGCTACGGGTGCAGGCGACTCGTCTTCCACCACGGGCTCCCACCAGACCACGCGGTACCTCCCAGGGGGTGTGGGGCGGAAGGGAAGGACGATTTCTTTGGCCGGGGAGGAGCAGGAGGAGGACAATGGGAGGAGGAGGATGCGGAGGAGGAGGATGAGGAGGACGAGAGGAGGGCGAGGAGGAAGAAGAGGAGGATAACGAGGAGAAGGAAGATGTGGAGAAGGAGGAGGAGGAAGAACGCAACAAACACCACACCGAATGTTTGTTTGACGCAAAAAAACGGAAGGAGGGGAGAAGGAGGATGAGGAAGAGGAGGAGGAGGAGGAGGAGGAGGAGGAGGAGGAGGAGGAGGAGGAGGAGAAGAGGGGGGGAGGAGGAGAAGGAGGAGGAGGAGGAGAAGGAGGAGAAAAAAAGAGGAGAAGGAGGAGGAAGAGGAGGAGGAATAACGGAACAAACTCCACACTCAATGTTAGTCTAACGGAAAAAAAGAAAGAGAAGAGGAGGAGGAGGAGGAGGAGAAGGAGAAGAGGAGGAGGAGGGAGGAGGAGGAGGAAGAGGAGGAGGAGGATGAAGAACGCAACAGGCACCACACCTAGTGTTAGTCCAACGCAGAAAAGGAGGATGAGGAGGAGGGGAGGAGGAGGAGGAGGAGGAGGAGGAGCGGGGTGAGGGAGAGGAGGAGGAGGAGGAGGAGGAGGAGGAGGAGGGTTAGAACGCAACAGACATCACGCCTAACGTTAGTCGAACGCAAAAGGAGGAGGCGACGTACGCCGCAGCCCTGCAGCTGAAGTTGGTCTAACTCAAAAAAAGAGGAGGGACATGATGGAGGGAAGCTGCTGCTGCTGCAATGCGTAACGATGTCCGGACATGCGATCATGTACCGTCTACTTGTGGGCACCGCAGAGCCTTGGCTAATTACTTACTGGGGGCCTTAAACTCGTCTGCGTAAGAACGCAAAGAGGGAGGGAGGAGGGGGAGGAGGAGGAGGAGAGGGAGAAGGAGGACAGAGGGAGGAGGGAGGCGGGAAGGGAGGGAGGAAGGGAAGGCTGTTGACTTGAGAGCGTCGAAAGCCACAGCTTCACGTGCGAAGGCACCAGGTGCGCACAGGCGGGCCCAGAGCCCCAGCTGGCAAATCGTGCGAGCACTTTTCGCTCCTGAAACGGCCAGTCGCCAGTTCGGGAAGTAAGAGTGGTGCTTGCGGGAAGGATGAGACATGAAAGAGGAAAGGGGGTGGCAATATCCTGAAAAGCTGTGTCGTCACGCAAAAGGGTTGGTTGCTTATGTTGATATGAGCAGCAACTGGTCCTGCAGAAGCTTTTCACCAGGTAGAGGGTAATCTGGCTGGGAGTGCACATCGTGTTGGATAGGCAGTCGAAGGGGCGGTGTGGGGTGGAGGGCCACACTGGCCTTGAAGCTCGATGGTCGCCATCCCTTACTCCAACGAGTTAGGCAAGCCCCATGCGCCTGATTGTAATGAGGACGGGTAGCGACGAGACATGAAATAGAGGAAGGGGAAAACTGTGGAAAAGTTGCCGTTACACGCATGAGCCGCCGTGCCTCGTACAACGTGTGTGGGCGGGCGGAGTAGTCCTTTCTTGGCTCGGCAATGTCTTGTTGGACCTTGCCAGCTAAATGCCAGATGCCCATGTGTGACGAGCAGTGCGACGGGCATTCTGATGCACGCGCGGCTGGGTGGCAACAGTAAGATAGAGCGGGGGCTCTGAAAGCGAGAAGGATGTGGCTGATCCATTCGCGCTTGATGCTATTCGTGGCCCTTGCCCCCTGGCTGAGGCTGTTGCGGCGGCGAAATATGAGGAGAAGTGACGCCAAATCGAGGGAAGGAAGAAGGGTGGAGCGGTACCCATCTGTGGCGCTGAGGCTCATGCGAGTTGTGCGGGCGTGCGGACTAGGTCTTTCCCTGTCGTGGCACGCCCTGCTGCGCTTTGCCAGTTGAGAGGCAGACTCCCATGCATGATGCGCACGCGATGGGCACACCGATGTGCCAGGAAGTTAACTGCGCAATTCCTGGTAAGCGCGGTTGGCTGGTCACTGGTGAGGGAATGGGAGGCCTCGAAGGAAACTTGAGGGTGTTTCATACACTCGCGCTCTGGCCACAGCCCGACTCTATTTTCTGATGTAATGGACATGCACATGCAGGCTGGTATAACAACACCTGAATTAAAAATTAACGCTTCTTACTGAACCTCAAGATTTCCTGGGGGAATGCATGCGTGATGTCTGCGCACAGGCGCTGTTCGCAGTGAGCGCACACTGCGGCACGCGCGAAAACTACACGTTGTGTCTAATGAGGGACGGCATCGCCGCAATGACCGCGCTGTCGTGGGTGATGCATCGCTGGCTTGTGCAAAGAGGTGTGGCGGTTGACCACAAGTTTGCTTGCCTCTCTGCTACTACCCCCTGTGTGTCAAACGTGTTCAGTTAATTCGCGCGGGTAGGGATAAACAAAAAAAAGCATGAGACTAGACCCCCAAACGTTGAAGGATCCCCATGCCATTGCTAGTTTTTCCCGCATCCAGAGTGGGGTTCTCGTTTTCTTTGGACACCCCGCGCAGGAGCACAGGAACACACACTCACTTACACTCACACACAGACCATTTTGATCACATTGACCATCACTCGATAACGCACTCACTCACCCACTCACTCATCATCTGCATCAGCCTCATCATCTTCATCACTCATTCTGTCATTCACTCACTCATTCATTCACCCACTCATTTGCTAGCTTGAATATGGAGGAAATCTCCGACGGGAGGCCTCGTGTGTGAGCGAAGTGCGAATAAGTCTCAAGCGGGAGCCCCCTCCCTATGGGGCCCGCACTTCACGTTTTTAATCCGAGCGGGTCATCCTCAACCCTGTAACTTTCGTCATTTTTGGGCTCCCGAAGGCTGAACATCGAGGAAGTATCGGGCAGGAACCTCGTCTGTGAATGAACTGTGAGGAAAATCTCAAGCGGGAAGCCCCTCCCCATGGGGCCCGCACTTTACGTGTTCAATCCGAGCGGGCCGTCCTCAACTCTGTAATTGTCGTCACTACGGGGTTCCCAAGGCCTGAATATGGAGGAAGTATCAGGCGGTGAATCTCGTCTGTGAATGAACAATGAAGTCTCAAGCGGGAGCCCCCTCCCGAAAGGGCCCGCACCTAATGTTTTTGATCCGAACGGGTCATTCTCGAACCTTTAACAATCGTCACTTTTGCGCTCCTGATGAATGGATATGGGGGAATATCGGGCGGGAGCCTCGTCTGTAAGTCAACCGTGAGGAAGTCTCAAGCGGGAATCCCCTCCCCATGGGGCCCGCGCCTTACGTTTTCAATCTGAGCGGGTCATCCTCAACCTCGTAGCTGGCGTCACTTTTGGGCTCCTGACGCCCAAATATGAAGGACGTATCAAGCAGGAGCCTCGTCTGTGAGTGAGCAATGAGGAAATCTCAGGCGGGAGTCCCCTCCCTATGTGGCCCGCACTTTACGTTTTCAACCCTGTAACTGTCGTCAGTTTGTGCACCCCTAGGCCTGAATACGGAGGAAGCATCAGACGGTGAACCCCGTCTGTGAGTGAACTGTGAGGAAATCTCGGGCGGGAGCCCCCTCCCTATGCGCTCTGCAGAAACCGATTCGCCCGAGCCATCAGGTGAGGAGGAAGAGAAGGAACAGGAGGTGAGGACGACGACGGCGGCCGGGCGCAGGGGGGAACTCTTGCGTCCAGGCCAGGGGTCACCCATCCTCGGCCGGAGCCGGGGCAAGGGAAACCCTTGTCTCCGGGCTGGCAGTGGTAACCCATATTTGGACGCCCGAAATGGACACGGGAAAAATTGGCACAATGCCCAACAACAAATGTTGTCCCAAACCAACAGCGGTCGCTGTTGGGCAGGCGGCCTTCTGTCTCAAATGGACACAGGCCGCGGCGATGCGGACAGCGAGTCCTGTTCAAAATAAACAGGGACTGCTGTTGGGCGTCGTACCCATTCTTTCCGTACCGATTTCGTTCGTGCCGACCATCGTCAGCCGAGTCGGGCGCAGGGGGGGGCCCTTTGCGTCCGGGCCGGGGGTGGTAACCCATCCTCGGCCGAATCGGGCTCGCCGCGAAGCTTGGTTTCGTGCTGCCTCCCGCCTGAGCGCGGCCGTGACTAGCTCGGTGCCTGCGGGGTTGTCACAACGGCTTGCTCCCGCGCCCCAGCGACTCGCGCGGTTGCCCCAACGGCCTGGCCTGCGGGGTTGTCCCAACGGCCGCGCGACGCGGCCATTCGAGAATGCGCCCGCGCTGGCCGAAGCGGCGACGGCGACGAGGAAAATCGACGCGCGCGCTCTTGCAATAAACCGGAAAGGAGGTGGTGGGTGACGAAACAAACAGCAGCAAGGCGAGGCTAGGGCAACGCGGGGAGCGGGTGAGGTCTCTGGTGGGAATGACGCAGAGAAGACAATAAGAGCGCCTCACTAATCGCGAGGACGACAGTGAAGGTTATTTCCAGATTCGCCGAAAGAATTGTCCTGTGGGGTCTTTCCGTCGGAGTAGTTAAGAGAATCTTGTTTCGAGACCCCCATATCCATTGGGCAACCCCGTTGAAGCAGCATGACACCCAGGACATCGGGGGGTTGAATGAAGCTAATTACCTCAGTGGCCTCCAAGGCGGAACCTATTCGTCCCAAAACGCCCTTCGTTTCAGGGGAGGCTCTCACGCTGGTTGGGGTCAGGAGAGGGACGTTGCGCGTGCGTCGCAAATATGGTGGTGTACATGGGGGGTTCGAGGATAGTATCATCAGTTATTGTGCTAAACTGCCCCTCTCTGGAGATCTTGGTGATGAGCTCTTGCGCACTCCGCCCACCAGATGACTGGCCGCACTTTCTCTTGGCATGAAACACTTACAAGGACTCCTTCAGGGAAGCGTGCGAGTTTCCTAGGGGGCTGGCAGCATTGATACATTATAGGTGTACGACAGAAACGGCTCTCAGAGGCACGGCTGCTGATGACAACGCCCGTTTCTTGTATGAGCACGCGGGTCGCATCAGAGTCACCGTGGACGGACACCAGCCTTACCAG